CAATCACAGTACAAAGCCGTCGCACTTATCCTTAAGTTCTGCTCAGTTCTCATGCAAAGTAAATCATCCTTTCATGGTATCAACATTCCCGATGGTCCGGTGACACCCGTGGTGACAACTCCCTCCTACGCCATACTCAATCAGATGAGTTGACCATGCTGCTTTTGAACCTTTCTGATTCTTCTCTCGCACATGCACGCACGCACGCACGCACGCACGCATTTCTACCACTTTTGTCGATAACGAGTTCCACTAATGCGTCGGCAGGTTCTCCAGAGGCAACGGGTTACCGGTACACCTGTTTGTCTCAATCACCGTCCTGTCAGCATTGATGGAAAAGGATACGAAGCAAACCATCTGACGGTCGGAAACAAGTACTCAATTAATGGATGGTATCTCGAAACAAAATTTAGTTAATTACAAATAAATACGAATGCCAAACCGGATACAGTAAAACTGCAACCGGTGATTTTCAGACTTCAGAAGATAAGACCCATGGAATAGTAACCGATAATCTCTTTAGTAGATATAATGGGAAGTCAATAAACAGAAATATGTCGTATTTATCACCACCATCTCAATTACAAATACGGTAGAAGTGAGAAAGCCGTCAGAAATAAACTCTCTCTCTATGTGCTAATGCTAATGTGTTTCCTCAAGGACATTTTGAGGGTAAAATAATCGATACGAGTGAAATAAATCCCCATTCCTTTCCAAGCGAGTAAATCTGACTGAGCATCGTATTTTTTCTTTTGTTAAAATAATCTCACCTGCACTGATCACACCAACCACATCCTGACCTGACGTCGTGCTGTACTACTCGTTGAACTCTCTACTTCTCTCGGTTTCTCTGTGGAAGTATATCTCGATAGGATCAGGGTTTCAGACGAAGAAGTGTAAGTATGAAGCTCAATGAGCAATCAATAAACCGATCAGGTTGATCTGTTTAAACTCTGCCCTAGTCAGATCAAGCAGATACAGTCAAAACTGCATGATCAAAAAGCCGTTCCATATTGGGAAAAAATCTATCTTTAATCATAATTGACTAGTTGAACGCGATTGACCGAATTCTTTCCTACATACCGTGGTAACTGTGAGCGGTAAGACGGAGTTATGAAGACCCCAGAATGTGAAAGCGATGGAGGAAGAGTAAACACAACTGGGCGAACAACTGACGGTAAGTTGCGAGAAATGAGAGGAAGTGTGAGCAGTAGTGGAACTGTTCTTTCACGTCCAGATATAAAACAACACACTCAGTCCTGGTACCACCAGTTCAAAACAACCAAGTGGACGATTGCTCAACAGAGCTTTCTTGCATGCTTGAAACAGGGCTTTTTTACGACTGCTTCAACGGCTAGAATAATCCAGATCAGGTGGAAGTTTCGTGCAATCAACTTCTCTGGTACACTGCAATACAACAGCACGGTGTTGACCGGGACTCCATGAACCGTTCTGTCGGCGTGGATTCAGTCCACACTTGTTCGAAAAAGTTCTTCTTTTACGACCGTTTACTTAGGGAGTAGACATCTGTTGTAACCGCATGGGACATAACTCAGTACTGGATTATCAAGGGGTCGTCTTTCGAGAAATTTATCCAGTCCAGATACAAACTCTACGGGTTTTTTAGAGCTGGAAACGTTTGGAAATTCGTTCATTCTGCAAAAATCATAGTTATTTATAGGAAAGAGACAGGATAGGGGAATGCATATATCTAACGATTGGTTCACTGGATTGCTCTCAACCGTTTTGATTGGTTGGCGGTTCCCGCCAATCATCTGAGTTCACTGATCCTTGCTCTGATTGATTGGCCCGGAACAAAGCAGTTTTCTGGGAGTATGTTGACCCCCTGAAATCTTCGTCTCCTTCCTCAAGAGTAGCCATATTTTCATGCCAAATGCCCTATCGCCAAAGTTTTAGCTCTCTATTATCCTCGAACTGTTTAAATTTAACTTGCCGTTGATGGATGCTTGAGTGATAGATAAGTATTAGCTGATGCAGGCGAGGTAAGTGGAAGATGGCAATCATGACCTACTGGGAGGTGTCCCGCCTACTGCATCTTCCTTATTACACCCCTGATCCAGTAGCAAGGTGAACTCGGGTCATGTTATTCCTACCACCACTTATGAGACGGTGTTCATGCTCCACAAAAATTTATAACTCGGGTATCTTATCGGGAATGGTCATAGTAGGTTAGCAAAAACCGTCCCATTATTTTTTTTTTGGTACCACTGTGCACAGTCCCACATTGCTCACCGAACATCCCTATGCACTGCGACTCTCAGTCCTATGCGAATGATAACTTACCAAAGGGAAGCTTGTTCACACAAGTTTCTTTTTTGCAATCAAAAGTCTGTTGCTACTGCTGACATCCGGCATACAGTAGTGCAGACGACGGACAGTAGCACAGAATCTCTGAAGGAATGAGAAGCTGAGCCACTCCTGGAGCAACAAATCAATAGGGATCGATAGTAGTTCCCAACCAACAAATCCATAAACGGAACAATTTCGGATGCCTAGAAACGTCTCGCACATATTTGAAACCTGATCAAAAACTGACTTG